GCGGGTGCCAGCCCAGCGCCGGTCCTCCAGCCCGCTTCCCCGGCATGCCCTCGGGAGCTCGGGCAGGAGCAGCCACGCAGGGCCTCCTGGACTCTCCCGCCGCCGCGGGGCTGCCTTTGAACCGTGATGAGTGGCTGGGATTACAGGCGTGAGCACTGCGCCCACCCAGATTCCCTTCTTTAGGTTCCCTTCCCCGCGGGAAGAGGCCTGGGCTGGCCGTGGTTGAAGCTGCACCCTGGGGGGTGGGGGGGGGCTGTATGGGAACTTGCCAAAGCCAGTTCATCCAAGCCTCATTTTGGAGTTGGCATGGCGCCCACAGAAGCTGCAGGCCGGGCCTGGGAGTGATGACAAAAACCAGCTTGCTCAATTGGGTGTCAGTGAGCCCAAAGGATTCCCAAAAATGCGCAGGGGGGGGGCGCTCTGTGCCCCAGACTCCAACAAACCGCCGCGGCCGTGACAGCCAGAAAGCAGGCTGGGGCGGGCTCAGAGCACCCCGAAGATCACACGACCCAAAGCAGCGGCTGGAAGCACAGGTGGGTGTTTGGGGGGCGGGTGGAAGGGGGTTCGGGGCAGCGGCGGCTCTGAGAGCTGGAGACGGTGGTTCGAAGCCAGCCTGGGGCAGGAAAGTCCGCCAGCCTCTTATCTGCAGTGAACCAGCTAAAAAGCCAAAAGGGAAGCCGCGACGCAAGGGACAGAGCGCCGTCCTTGAGGGGTGTGAACCAATTCAGAGTGCGAGGCCCCGAGTTCAAATCCACGTAATGGCACAAGATCAAAAGCAAAACAAACAGAAAAAGGGAGGAAGGACCCCAAATTCACTTGAAAACGAGCCAGGAAAGCACGCGTGCAGCTTTGCTGAACCCCCAAGGAAAAAACCCAACGGTCCTCACTGCATGGAGTCCAGCCTCCACGGGCAGGCCTCCCCTGCCTGCCTCCAGGGGCCTCCAAGGCTGCCTCCCTGCAGGCCAGTTACTCCTTTTCTGGGGGTGGGGTTGGGACCCAGTCCTGGGGCTTGAACTCAGGGCCTGGGCGCTGTCCCGGAGCGGCTTTTGCTCCAGGCGCCACTTCTGGCTCTTTCTGTGTAGGTGGGAGTGAGGAATCGAACCCGGGGCCTCACCTAGGCCAGGCGAGCGCTCTACGGCGGCGCCCCCGCCCCG